CGTTCCTGGACAGCCTGAAGAAGATGCAGAGCAGCCAAGCTGCACCCACAGCAGCAGGTGAGGAGGAGGAGGGTCCCAGGAGCAGGACTGACACAGCCCAGCAGGTGCAGCAGGAGCTATGCATTGCCTCTGTGTGAGGCAGGTGATAAACCCCCTGTTCCAATGCTCTGCTGGCAGCAGAGCTGACTTGCAGGTCTTCAGGGGACACATCTGGGGACACTTAGCCCCTGGTTCTGCTGGGGACTGTAATAAGCATGGAGGGCTGGGTATGGTGGGTGCTGCTCCAGGAGCCTTGGCAGCAGTGCGTGGGTGCCTGGCAGAAGGGTGGACTGTTTGTAGGTGCCCCCCAGTCCCTAAATAAGCTCTCTCCCCCTTTCCAGACTCCACTGGAGCTGCAGCAGTGTCTCAGCCACCTCCATCAGCTGCACAGCCTCCTGCTCCCACAGTGTCACTGGAGTCAAGCTCTCTGCCTGCCACCTCTGCTGACACCAAACCTGTGCCTGTGCTGGGCACACCTACCCCCACTGCACCCCCTGCCCTGGGGGTGCAGCCCCCGAGCAGCCTGGCACCTCCTTCATTCACGGAGCTGGGCCAGACCCCCAGCAAGCCTCCCTCCTTCCAAAAGCCAAGCATCCTGTTTGGGATGCTGAAGACCCCTCCTGCCAGCCAGCCAGCAGTGACTGTGGCTGCTGCTGTGCCCACCACGACCACTGCTGTGCCCATCACAGCCACTGCTGTGCCCACCACGACCACTGCCATGCCCACCACAGCCCCCGTCTTCAAACCCATCTTTGGTGCTGTGCCTAAGAGTGAGAGCACAGCAGCCTGCACGGCTGTCACCTCCACCACTGCCACCGTGTCTGTGAGCTTGGGGCCTTCCTCGACGTCCTCCACCACCACCATGTTCAAGCCCATCTTTGGCAGTGTCACCACAGCTTCATCTCCAGCGAAAGTCTCTCCTTTTGCCTTCAAACCAACGGCACAACGAGCTGCAGAGCCAGCAGCAGCCTCCACAGCTACCCTGGCAGGATTCACAGGTCTTCCCAGCGTCATCTTCACCACTGCAGCTACAACTGCCACCACCCAGAGTTCCTCCACTGATGCCACCATTAAACCTGTCTTCAGCTTCGGACTGAACCCCCCTGCCTCCACTGTCCCTGCTGCCAGCCTGACCGTCACCACTGTCACCTCCACCAGCGTGGCACAGCCCTTCCTGTTTGGGGGTCCGACCAGCTCTGCCCCCAGCACAGAAACCAGCTTTGCCACCCCAGGGCCTGTGTTCCAATTTGGGAAGCCACCTCCAGCCACGGTCACTGCCACCACCAGTGTCCCAGGAGGCCCTGCCTTTGGCCAGGCACCTTCAAACTTGACAGCTGCTGCCACCACTGCAGGCTTTAGCATATTTGGGAGCACCACGCTGACCTCTTCTGCCCCAGCCACCACAGCTCAAGCACCGCTGACATTCGGTTCCTCTGTTTCAGCTTTTGGCAGCTCCTTCAGTGCCAGCACGAAGCCACCACCCCCCTACCCTGGTGCTGGGAACCAGCCTGCCTTCAGCTCAGGGGCTGCTGAGAGCCAGCCACCTGCCACCAAGCCTGCTGCTGGCCCTGTCAGCTTTGCCCCCCCGTTCAGTTTTGGAGCCCCCCCAACGCAGGCAGCGGCTCAGCCAGCGTTTGGCAGCGGTGCCCAACCAGCCTTTGGCACCACCAGTGCTCAGGGCTCCTTTGGCACCAGCA